ATGAACAGGAGAAAAAAGGACTAAGAGCAGTTTTGTACAACTTTCACATATCCGTACTATTCATACAAACTGGGTAACCCCGGTAACTTATTTTTTACGAGTTCCAAACGAATATGCGTGTGAGTGTAGCACGTTTAGGAAATCACACTGTGCTCGGCTGAAGTGATTATCATCAAATTTCAACTTCAGGTAGTCTCAAGAGACTCAAGGAGTTAGTGCAATCGGCTTTTGTCACATGCGAAATGTTGCCAAATCGATGAACGTGAGTCACAATGCACATTTACAACGTCCACCCTCTTAGAGTCTTGCCACCTGAAATCCATGTCACCCACGTGAGGCCCATGCCGACATGAGACATTCGCGAGTGGCATCGACTGCCAAACCGCCTGCATTCAATCATAAAACTTTTCTGAGTCGACGTACCTTCGTGGGTGTGCGTTTGAAGTGATTATGTGAACCCTGATCCGGGGCGAGACTACGTGGCTAACTGGCTGACTGTTTTCTATGCTGCGAAACTATGTTTCGCAATGATTACAGAAAGTCAATTCCCGAATCGCAGGCGGTCTTAAACTAAGGCAGGCATGCTCTGACTCTCTAGGATCGGAGCCAGAACCTTATTGCACATTACATCGGCAGTAGTTCACTAGAGCATGGAACATCTGTGGGCCCTTCTCGGTTCTCAGGCATTTTAGATTCGGTCGAGTTAAAAATGAGTTTAAGTAGGAAACACTCCCTGCTGGAAGACTATACATAATCCCAAAACTAAAATACTGTAGAGTAACATAAGGTAGGGGAACCGCGGCTGTGGCAATTTGCTTACCCGTAAGATTTACTCCAGTCTGCTGAGCCACAGAAACAATTTGAAAATAGTCCAGTTAATTAAGATTCTACAGCAGAAGACGTTTTTATAGAATCGGCGAGAAAACTGGGGATGCACAGGAAACCTTTAAACAAATAAATTATTTGCGGGTTTGCAGAATTGTCCAACGCAAACATTGTACACTTTTTGATAACTCAAAACTGCGCTCTCCGTAGGGAAGGACATCAGTCGAATCGTTTTTCATTCAGTTAATAACGCTTGCTTAACATACGTCCGAATTCATAGAATATCGGTGTCTGAGATTCTAGTTTGTGTAAAAGGAAGTATATTACTTAAGACGTCAGGAAGCATCCACTTTTCAAGCAGATACTGCGCAGAAGCATATGTGAGTTCGCAAGCATCTGCATTTCTTGTAAACGTCACTTGACCACTGTGCTACATGGTAAGCAGGTGATTCAGTAGGGGACAGCACTCATTAACCGTGATGACCGATGTCTAGATTTCAAGTTACTGGGCCCTTGGATGCAATGCCTAAGGACCGTTTCAAAATGAACCGATTGCTGATGATTTGGTTGACCATCACATTCGGAGAACACACCCGCTGACTAGCAGTAAGTAACACAGTCAGCAAGAAGATGTTTATTGACATCATGGAGGATGCCGATAACGAAAATTACATTCTGAGAAATAAGAGGAACTCACCGAAACATGTTTGCTGGAATGCTTGCGTTTTGAGAGTTTGGTTGGCTGATCATTGTTGCAGCATTAAATGCACTAACTAGAATGGAAACGAAATGAAATGAAATACAGTGAGTGACCGATCTCATGAAATGTTGGCTGGAATTATGAAATGCGTTTTCGATTAGGAAGGCTTACTTGGGCGTGGTTGAAATACTTATTAACTTGCAGGATAATCTTATAACATTTCGAACTCGACAGTATATCAGCTTTTGGATACACTGCCCTTCAATCTCCTGTAGAAACCGTAATCGGTAAAAAAATGACTACTTAATTGGCATGAATTTTTCCCGTTGATTTTTGGTGATCTTGCAAATAAAAATATATTTTACAGAAACCATAAACAAAAATATGCTTTCTTTTAGTCAAGTAATAGAGAATCACGTCTTCTTTATATTTTATACTGAAGGAGGGAGTATAATTAGGTTTTAAAAGTGTTTCTAATTATGACATTTTTAAGACCGCGCAATGTCCATTTGCAAAGCATCGTACCTGGCCGTTTACCACAGCTCCTCATGAAATGTGCAACATAGTCGTATCCATTGCAAAGTTTCATAGACTCTGTATGATATCATTCTATTGGCATATAAAAATATATGATTTTCCTTGCGCAGAAGGCATGCACCTTGTAGACTGAAATCACTAAGCGCTAATGTACCGAATGATCAGGCTCCAAATTATTCGGCAGTTAAAAATCTTTTAAAAGCTTAATTATACTCCTTCTTTGAGTATAAAATATAAAGAAGACGTGATTCTCTATTAATTGACTGAAAGAAAGCATACTTTTGTTTATGGTTTTTGTAAAATATATTTGAATTGGCAAGACCGTCGAAAATCAATGGGAAAAATGCATGCTAATTAAGTAGTCATTTTTTACCGATTACGGTTACCACAGGAGATTTAAAGGCAGTGTATTCAAAAGCTGATATACTGTCGAGTTCGAAATGTTATAAGATTATGCAGCAAGTTAATAAGTATTTCAACCACGCCCAAGTAAGCCTTCCTAATCGAAAACGCATTTGAGAATTTCAGTCAACTTTTCGTGAGATCAGTCACTCACTGTAGCATGCCGTGCTAGTCGGTCTCTGGCTGATCGAATTGTTCCTTCCTTTGCTGTCTCTGCATTTTTAGGGTGTTTGACGGGCCTGTCGGCTAAAGGCGCAATAAGTCACCACCTCGTTGGCGAGAGGGTTGTTGATTAAAACTCTGCGGGGGGGGGTTGTGTCTGCTGTATTCCTAAAGCAGGCCACGCGTTAGACGCGCTGGGCCAACGCGCGTCCACATTGGCTTCTCGTAGACCTACTTGCCGCCTCATGTCGCGCTGTTGTCGTTGGTTAAAATCCTGGCCACTGTTCGCTGTGGACCAAGGGATGTGGTGACACGTCTGGCTGCGGGTTCTCGCCGTACCAGTCACCTGGGTCCTCTCTTGCCTCCTGTCTTCCTGACTATGTCTTCACGCCGGATCCAGAGGTGGCAGAGGGAGGGAGTGTGGTAGATGCGGCACAAGTCTATTATCACTATAAACTAATTCACGTGCAAGTCACCGCGCATTCCCTCACCCTGCTGTGGAGCACACAGTGGACGTCGTCGGTCACGACGGCAGTGTCTGTGTAGATTTCTTAAATTCTAGGTAGTCATCCTTTCCTTGTCTTTGCGTACACAATAGCGCAGAACTTCATAAACTGAAGGAAGGTCAAGATGCCTGTCCATGGAGGTAGCATCTGAATATCATTCCCCAAGTGTTAGCCAATCAGTCGTTGATTTGCCCCTGCCTAACGTAGTTACTCCCCGAAGATAGAAAGCACAGACAGCTTCTCCAGTATGTTTTGAATGTTGAGCGTTTGGATCTGACCTCCGAGGTACTGATTAGTGTTCTTGCAGACATGTCTACAAATTCTGTGTGGTTTCCCCAATTTAATTACAGTCCAATCATTGCGACTTCTTTTTTGACAACTGCCGAGGTCACGTTGAGTGGCAGCCCGTCCTTAAGTCTCCCCAAACGGTGACGAATTGTTACCTTGGGTCGGTGGGATATCCGCCTCGAAAACTCATTTAATGTAGAAAATGGCTCTCCAGACTTCTTACTTCTGCCCCTTTGGCCGTCCTCTATTCGCTCGATGTCCGCTTTTTCTGATAAAATGGCTGAACTCTATTGCCTCTGAAGAGGTTCTAAAGGCATAGGCGCTCAGTTCTGTGTTAGAACTTCCTGTACTTGTCTCTCTCATAGCGTTCATCCACTAGTTGAGTCACAGCCCCTATCGTGGGACGTTATGGAATGAAGGTGAAATGTGTAACGATATCAAAGGATACCATGAATTCATCTGGCCCTCACTTCAGGTGTTTTATGCGCTCAAAGAAATGACTGGCAGAAGTTACTGCTGTTGATGAACTTGTTGCCAATAGTTAAAGATGAACAAGCACCCATGTTGACAGGTCATTTGTCGGGGTGATACGAAGACAGGGGATTGACCTGAGCGGTACACTTACCTAGTGTACCTTCAGCAGACCGTAGAGGCGGGTCGTGGCGGAGCCAGTGTGTTTCGTGAACTTGACGTACAACAACACCCTCTGGTTCACAGCGCAAACTGTCCAGCATTTTATGATAATCCGACCGTCGTTGCCGTTACACAACAAGAAACAAGGGGGCGATCCGTGTCTTACGGAGGGGGAGTGTCATAGAGACTATACCAACACACAGTTGGCTGACTACGAGGTCCGAATTATCCCACCAGTTTGCAACCTTTCAAGCCAAGGCCTTTAGTGCACCGTGTAGTCTTGGACTTGGATTACACACACCAGAGGAGTCAAATAGAGAAGGAGCGGAGTAGCACACATTCCACTTACGTGAGAAGTCCCAACCACGTGCTTACGCTTTGGGATTTCGGGTATGGTCATGTGTGTTTTAGGTGCCGGTGATGAGAGATAATGTGATATGGTATAGCCGGCGGGTTCTACGACAGGTTTTTAAGGAGACGCATGTGTCCTAATAGGCCCATGCGATGGCTGAATGTGCGAGGTCAATGCAAGGAGTCGAGATGATGGCTGCTGGCGTACTTAAATGCTCCTGGCCCTGGTTGGCCTGTCTCTGTGCGACGGATTCGAGCAGACCGTTACGTAAGGTGAGCGCGTGGGGACAATGTGGGACGGATAGTTTGGGTCGGTTGTCGTTGTGATGCTGCTAGCGCGCGCTGGCTGATAGGAAGTTGACTGGGTTGAGGGCGGTAGGGATGACTGATGTGCACGGTATGTTAGGTATGTCGGTACTGCGGTGAATTCCGCTTCTGCGGACGCGCACGTGACCGAATAGGTCCATGTGACGTACGAATGTGAGTAGACGGTGTAAACAGTGAAGGCGGATGCGGCGAACGTATGTGGGGGCTCTAGGTGCTGGTGTGCCGGTTGCAGTGCTATGGATTCAAAAATGACCGACCAGGCCGATGTGCTAGGTGGATATGCGATCGCAACGGGAACGGGTTAAAACCGAGTCCACATCGTTGGAGATGGGATTGTGATGGTGAGGTTGATGGTTGACGGACAGTCGAGAGAGTTTTGTTCGGTTGCTGGAGTGGGAGCTGTTGTGATCGCCGTCGTCGTCGTCGTCGTCGTCGCCGAGGTTGTTGTAGGGATGATGAAGTTGGCAACGACCGACGAGTGTGAGGCACGAGGATGTTGAGTATCGGCAATGACAACGGTTGTCGTGGACGCCGTGGGGCTTGGAGCAGGGGCGATTGAAGAGGCAGCTGGTGGGATTGCCGGGGTGGTGCACTGAGTCCGGAAACGCCCGACGAGGCCAACCCGCGAGGAAAGTGTTGTTTGACAGTACAAGCATGCTAGGAGTAGTTTTGGATTAGTTTTGAGGGTCAAGAGCGCCTCAGCCCTGCGAGCTTCCATTTTGGCTTCCGCAGCGGCGATTCGGTTGGCTTTCTAGATGTCTGCTCCAGTCATCAGTGCTCTTCATCAGAGCGGTCAGTCGAAAGCAAGGTCTTCCCGGTTCTTCGGGTTAGTATGTAGTCGCTCTAAAGAACCCTTTATGGTATCCTTGTAGCAACGGATTTGACCTCCTTGCCGGCGAGCACCTGTGGGAACATCTCCATAGAAGAGTTTATGGTAGGCGATCGTCGTCCATCCGCATGAGATGACCGCTCCAGCGTAGTTGCAGTCACCTCAATGCGGTGTGGATTCCAGTCTGTTTCAAAACTTTTTGTCCGATGTCCTGTCCTGCCTCCTCCGTTTTAGTATCCGGCTGAGATAACAGGAATGGAGGTAATTGTGGTCCTGCGCTAGTTTTCCGTACACCGTCTAGGTCTCTGCATCATAAAGCAGCGTCATCACAATGACTGCTGTGCACATTTACAGTTAGCTGTTCAGTTGAAGGCCTTGGCGATTCCATAGGGAGTTCTACAGCCGACCGAATGATTGGCTTGACTTCGTCGTCGATTGTGATGCGGCACAAGAGTGTGCTGCCTAATTAGGCGAATTTTTTCACAGTTTTCAGTTCAGTGCCGTTGACGTGGATGCGAGGAGAACTGCATATAGCACTGAGTGACAACTGATACATGACGCTCATTTGGTCCATGTTGATGGTCTGCCCGAAGTTGACGCAACCGGAGGCATAGAGTTCCATACTTCTACTTGATACGGCCGCGATCATGCCTGATCTAGCCGGCCTCGATGATGTCACGGACTGTACCTCTCCACGCGTGACGATCCGCGGCAGCAGATCTGGACAGCTGAACCCATTCCCTTCGCCAACGACGTAGACCGAATACCGAAGGTCCAAGAACCACCTCCATGTCTTGACGAACTGTGTCCAGCCAGGATTTGAACTGACCCCCTCTCCGCCGCCTCCAATAGGTTAGGGTGCCGGATCGAGGGCAGTAACGCTGAGCTCCTGAGGTGGACGACGAACAACATGCCCAAACCACATCTGTCGCCTTTCGTGGATGGCCTGAGTTATCCTCGCAATGTTGTCGCAGCGGGCGCGGACTGTCTCACTTGAGACGAAGTCGGTGAACTTCACTCGAAGGATGATCCTGAAGCAGTGGTGATTAAATACCTCCAATTTTCGCTCGTCCTTCACGCGCAAAGCCCAACATTCCCAACCGTAGAGAAGGACAGACCGGACAGATGCACGGTACACGCGAATCCTAATGGCGATGGAGAGGTCACGTCGGATCCATAGGCATTTTCGAAGGCTTGGGAAAACCCAGCGGGCAGCATCGATTCGGGGTAAATCTTGTCCTTACTCTGTCCATTAGGCAGCAGCCTCGCCCCGAGGTATTTAAAACTGTCTACTTCTTCAAGTTGACAGTCATCAATCCCGAGGGGTGCCATCTCCTGGTCAGGGATGCAGCTTGAAAGCACTTTGGTCTTCCCAGCGTTTATGGACAAACCGACCGCTCTAGCGACCTCGTTCACCCGTGACTCCATAGACTGCAGATCACCAAAAATTGAAGCAAGTTAGGCGATATCATCGGCATAGTCGAGATCAGTCAGTCACTGTCCGAGTGCAAACCCAACGTCGTCACTCTCGCGTAGGGCCCTCCCGAGGATCCAGTCAATATCATAGTTGAACAGAATTGATGACAGGATACAACGCCGTCGAACGCCAGACCGACTACCGAACGGTTGGGAAAGATTGTTGCAGACCTGGACACTCGCAATAGCGGAGTGATAATAGGCCTTGATTATGGCGATGATTTTTAGCTGTACACCATCTAGCGCCATTATCCGCCACAGGGACTCACGATGGACGGAATCAAACGTGTTGACAAAGTTAGAAAAGCAAACGGCTGTTGGTTGTTGATAGCTATGGCGAAATTTGAGAATGAGCCTCAGTGTGAATATCTGGTCTGCGCATCCACGTCCGGCACGAAATCCGGCTTGGTTGGGCCTCGTCCTTGAGACACGTGCAGCCTGGAATCGCCTAAGTATGACGATATGGAAGATCTTCGCAGCAACGTCGATGAGGTTTATGCCGCGGGAGTTCTCGCATCTCGTCTTATCTCCCTTCTTGAGGATAGGTACAAGGATGGCTAAGTCCCAGTCATCAGGAACAACCTCGACTCTCCACGCTTGTTCAATCAACTCATAGAGCCAGGGCGCCAGAGTGTCGACACAAAACCTGAAGATTTCAGCGTGTATACCATCCTCTCCGGGTGCCTTGTTGTTGCGTATATCTCGTATGGTATCGACGAAT